TATATATTCAAAATTCACCTTGGCACCATTTTGACCTTTTCATGACATGTTGGTAGCTCAATTTTTTAAAAATAATAAATAAATTAATTAGAAAATAATTTAATAAAACAAAAAGAATGGGATGAAAGGTATTAGAAATTAACAACAATAATAAGAATTCAAATTACATCAAAACTTAAAAATAATAATCAAACAATAAAAAAAAAAACTTGATCAATATCACATGAGATAAGTTATGTGAGTTAACTCATTAAGGTTATTAACTTAATGGTTGGAAATTTAGATAATTTGTATAGAATTTTAGATTTAATTTTTTTTCATTATAGTACCAATGTGACATTCTCCTATTATAATTATAGTATTCCAAGATACTAAAATATATACTATACTCTTAGAATTTCTCTTACCATTTTTCAATTTTCTCGTTATCAAAACACCTTAATTTTCCCCCTTATTATTTGCATAAGATACAATGGGTATCTTAGTGTGTATTTATTTTGTTGATGAAAATTTGCAAACATATGTTAAATGAAACAAATAAAAAAATTTACTTTTCATTTTAGTGTTTTGAAAAGAGTGATTTTACATTTTTGTTTAAAAGAATAGATTTTCAAACATGCTGTTACAAAGTTATAAAATTTGATGTATTTATTTTACCATAATTTTTTAGAATTGTGAATTTAAATCTAACTAAATCTTACAAAATTAATTTATAAGGTGATGTTATTCTCCACTTATATATTATTTAATTGTCTTATTTCTAGTCATTGTAAAACTTTGATTTTTCTCAATATACCCTATTACTCAAACACTACTAGGCTTTTAATATGTGAATAAATGGTGAGTGACTCATTTAAAGTGGATCTAGATAAATATGATACAATCTTAGAATTATGGATTTGAGTCTAACTCAATCCTACAAAACTAATTTATAAAATGAAGATTAGTCTTCATCTATATATTTTTTAATTATCTTATTGTAATTAATATGGAACGGATTTTTCAATTCAATTTGAAGTTTATGTATATTTTTATCAACCCATAAAAGTAACTTCATCTATGAGGCAGAAATGCCTCCTTTAATTTTGACCAATTACTACAACCCGTGTCCTCAAAAATAAAATTACAAGCCGCGTATTAGCAAGCATTAGCAATTTAAATGGAAACAAAATAATAGTTTAGGAGGTATTACACACGAGCCACGCTCCACCGTCAGATTTTAAAAGAATCCAACGGTTCAGAAGCGGCTTAAAAAAGTTACCGTTGAAAGGAGAAGAGCGAAGCGTTCCGTGAATCCGTGGTTCAGCTTAAAAAAAAGCCTATTTAATATTTATTGTCACCCACAATTTGAAATTTATACATTTTTTTTTATCGCGAAAAAGCCATAAAAATAACTTCATATATGAGGCAGAAATTCCTCCTTCAATTTTATCCAATATTATTACAAGCCGTGTATTAGCAATTTAAATGGAAACAAAATAATGTTTAGAAGGTATTTTACATACGAGCCATGCTCCACCGTCAGATTTTAAAAGAATCCAACGGCCCAGAAGCGGCTTAAAAATGTTACCGTTGAAAGGAGAAGAGTGAAGCGTTGCATCCTTCAGCTTCAAAAAAGAAGCCTATTTATTTTCTCCTCTCAACTCATTCACATTCAGAGTTTTGAGAGAGAGAGAGAGAGAGAGAGTCATACTTTGATTTCAATTCAACACCGAAGAAGAATTTCCGAAATGGCATCAAGAGCCATCCTTCAACAACAGGCCAGAGGTATTTTTTTTTTTTCAATCATTTTTCTTTTCTCTTAATGTCGGTTTCTTGCTTTTCTCAAAAAAAGTTTGAATGAATCTTTGTTGTCTTGATCTTTTGGGGGTGTTGATTCAAATTTTCTTTTAAGTTGGGCCTTCAGATTTCCGTGTTGGTTGCTTTGTATTGGAATTTGGAATTGGATAAAATCGTAAAAACATGAAAATTATTGTTTTGAACATTCAAATCTGTTTGAATAATAGTCGAGATTCAATTTCCCCGGGTTTGGATACTCACTGATCTTTTCAGAGCAAAAGGGGTGTCTTGTATATATTTTTTTCAGTTGGAGTTATCTTGGGTGTTGCATCACTCGAATCTGTGTTTACATCATAAGCTATCTATCACCTTTTTTTAATGGATGATTTATTCGCAATTTCGTAGGTGAAGCAGTAGCGGAAGGAGGGAAACAGCAGAAGAAAAATGGTGCAGGAGAGGGAAAGAACCGTAGAGCACTTGGTGATATTGGGAATTTGGTCAATTTAAGAGGAGTTGAAATCAAGCCCAATCGCCCAATCACAAGGTTCTTTCTATCTCTATTTCTCTCTCATTTATTTTCTCATACTCAATATTAATGTGATATGTTTATGATTCATTTAGGAGTTTTGGTGCCCAACTACTTGCCAATAAGCAAGCAGCAGAAGCTGTTGTAGATAACAAGGTGAACTACTGTCGTGTTGCTTGTTTCATTTTACTTAGGTGCATTTCATTTGATGCATCAGTGCTGTTTCCGATCAGAATTCAGTATGTATATTTAATGTAGATTTCAGTATCTATATTCTATATTATTAAGATAAAATTCTAATTTTAATCGAAAAACAACAGTAACTATAATTAAAAAACTGTATCTAAGTGTTGTACTAATTTAATTATTCTAACTGATTGTGACTTTTTTTTTTTTGAACTGCAGAAACAAGCTTGTACTAATGTGGCTGGACCTCCTGTTGCTCCAGGAGGTGCAGTGGCCAAAAAAGTGGCCCCCAAACCGGGTCAGAAGAAAGCCACTGTACAACCAAAGCCTGAGAAAGTCGTTGAAGCTAGCCCAGACAAGGAAATCCAGAAAGACAAGAAAAAGGAAGCGGACGCCAAAAGGGATTCGCGTTCTCTTACTTCAGTGCTCTCAGCTCGAAGCAAGGTAGATTGAGATGATAAATCTAAAATGAAAAAAATAAAAAACTTCAGTGTCTGTTTGAACCATGCTATGTAGAGTACATGTTTGCCACTATTCCTCATTTTTTAACAAGAAGTTATTGTGATGTACTATTGCAGGCAGCATGTGGCATAATTAACAAGCCAAAGGAACATGTTTTTGACATTGATGCTGGTGATGTTGAAAATGAGCTTGCTGCTGTGGAGTATATTGATGAAATTTACAAGTTCTACAGGCTTGCTGAGGTATGACACATGGTTCCCTTTAACTTTTTGTGTGTTGTGTGTTTGATGTGATGACATTCTAATTATCTGAATGTGCATTTGATGCATGAAGAATGAGAGCCGCCCTCATGACTACATTGACTCACAGCCTGAGATAAATGAGAGGATGAGAGCTATACTGATTGATTGGCTGATAGATGTCCACACCAAGTTTGAACTTTCAATTGAGGCCCTTTACCTTACAATCAATATAATTGATCGGTTCCTCGCAATTAAGACTGTTCCAAGGAGGGAACTGCAATTGCTTGGCATCAGTGCCATGCTGATAGCATCCAAGTATGAAGAAATCTATCCCCCTGAGGTATGTATTATTCGCTGCTACACTGAGTGTGTTCATTGATGTATTGGCCTTCTCGATGAATTTCAAGGGAATAATACTTGTTTTATAATTGCAGGTTAATGACTTTGTCTGCCTCTCAGATAGGGCTTACACTCATGATCAGATACTGATCATGGAGAAAAGAATACTGCACAAACTAGAATGGACTTTGACTGTGCCAACACCTATTGTTTTCCTTGTTCGTTTTATCAAGGCATCAGTCCCAGATCAGGACGTGAGTGTGTGACCTGTTTTTCTTTTCTTTTTTTTCAACTCTTTTTAAAATATGTTTCTTGCTTTATTAATGCTAGACTGAATTTTTTTCTCTGAATTTTTGCATTTGCAGTTGGAAAACATGGCTCATTTTCTGTCCGAGTTGGGAATGATGAATTATGCGACCTTAATGTATAGCCCATCAATGGTTGCTGCCTCTGCAGTCTTTGCTGCTAGATGCACTCTCAATAAGGCTCCCCTTTGGAACGAGACGCTTAAAGTGCACACCGGTTACTCACAAGAACAACTTATGTATGTTAAAAACATGAACTTCTATTTGGCTTTACTATTGTGTAAATTTTAATTATATTTGGCTTTGTTGGTTTAAACAGGGATTGTGCTAGATTATTGGTGAGCTTCCACTCCAATGTTGGGAATGGAAAGCTAAAGGTTGTGTACAGGAAGTATTCAGATCCTCAGAAAGGGTCTGTTGCTGTGCTTCCACCGGCTAAATCTCTTCTGCAAGATGGTTCTGCCTCCCAATAGAGTTTAAGAAACAAAGGGTAGAAGCACTTAATAGAGTATTGGCAATAATCATTTGTATTTTTTTCCTTAATTTTTTTTATTAACAAAACTGATATATTAAAAGTTGCAAGTAAACACTTGCTAATCCTTCATCGCCTTTTTATCCGGCGGTTATACATACACTAAGTGGCAACCAGTTTCAATTTGAAAGGTTCCTTGTTAGAAAATATATGGCACTGTTAAAACTTATTGCTGCCAACATAATGTTAAAACATCTTGAAATAACATTTTTTTTAAATTGCATAGTGTGTTTTCATCTCATTCATCAAGTTTAGTGCAACCAGGTGCAGGTTCTCATTGTTAAAAAACATAAACTCTATTATTAAAATTTGGTTATGATTAAATTACGAAGTTTGATCCTAAACTATTTGCAATTTTCAAGTAAGTCCCTAAATTATTAACTTTTTTTTTTTAATTTGGGACTCAATTTTATTTTATTTTATTTTTTATAAAGACCGACTTGAAAATTGAAATCCATATGTCACACACACGAGTTAGTTAAAGGGTGTGTTAAGTGTATTTGGATGAGAAATTTAAGGAATTTGAAAATCTTAGAATTTGAATTATTTTGATTTTTAATGTTTATCATTCTCAATTAAATTGATTTGAATTAATGAAATGAAGTAATAAATTAAGAACTTTTAAATTATGATTGGATCATTGAAATTTAATGAAACATGTATAAGTTATATTGAACTAAGTAAATCTAGTAAACTTATTGTTAAAGTAAACAAATATCTTATATATAGAAAATATATATAGATGATATATATTAAGATTAAATTTTATAAAAATAAATATCAGCTAATTTTTGAATATTTAGTAATTTGGTAATTTTAAAAATTAATATTAGATGATATTTAATAATTTAAAAAATATTTTGAATATTCAATAATAAAAGAATATTGATATTTTTTACATAGGTGAAATAAGAAGAAAAGAATATAAAAAATTTCAAATTCTTTCTTTTGAAATTATACTATTTCAAGGGATCTTTTCTCTCTCTAAATATGCTAATTTTTAAATATTTAATAATTTTAAAACTAATATTAGATGATATTTAATAATTTAAAAAATACTCTAAATATTCAATAAAAAATTATTGATATTTTTTTATATAGGTGGAATAAGAAAAAATTATCAAGAATTTTAATTCTTACTTTTCTAGAATTTGAAATTCTACTTTTTCATGAAATTTCATAAAGGTTAAAACTCTTATTTGGTCTCTTATAATATTTTTTGTTTCAATTTAGTCCCACTTTAATTTTTAGTTTCAATTTGGTCCTCAATAATTTAAATTATTGCAATTTGGTACTTTCGTCCAAATGATTTAAACAGAGTTAACTGTTGGGCACGTGGATGTCACGTAGATGCCACGTAGATACGTAGGTGGATGCCAAATTTCTTGAATACACATGGAACCAGAACGGCCCGTTCTGAAACCAGAACGGCCCGTTCTGGTTGCACGTATGTTTATTTTGTACCTAGAATGGGCCGTTTCAGATGCAAAATTTACACACCAATAGTGTAACCAGAATGAGCCGTTCTGGTTTCAGAATGCGCCGTTTTAGTTCCAGAATGGTCGATGACCATAGTTCACGGTTGTGAATCGTGCAAGGAAAAAGACCCAAGGTACAAAGTATTTCAAATACTATATTTGGTAATATTGTCAATGGGGATTGATAACTTCAATTGCTAAATATTTGGGCTATACAGTGTATCATTAAGGACGATGCACTGTATCATTAAGGACAATGGTAGCAGGTTTTATTTCATTGTTAGTTAAACTGGAGTGAACCACTTACTACCAAATTGACACTATACAGTCAAGAATGAAACAAAACGGTATTTCCCCTTGAAGTCATTGACGATGTACCCCAACAATAACAACATGTTCTTGAGGAGGTACAACCTGAATTTTTGTGGTTTAGAGTTTCCCTTCAACGTTACCCACAGATGATTTCCTTTCTCAGTAATTTCTTTGAACTTTTTTAGTATATGTTATGTTCTGAATTTTTATTTTCAGTTTCTGAACCATGTTTCTGTCTTTGAATTTATGATATGTTATGAATTTTTGTTTTCAATTTTTGAATCACATTGTGACATTTTGGTCAACGCATGCATGAAGTTGGCATTCTGGAATGGACCGTTCTGAATCCAGAACAGTCCGTTCTAACACCAGAACGGGCCGTTCTGACCCGTTCTGGTTTCAGAACGGCCTGTTCTAATGTAACGCCTAATTCTAATACCCAAATTATACAAT